TTGTGTACCGGTTTTAATGTTGAATATTATTTATGATTTTAACTTTATACACAAGTGCCAAAATACAATAATGATATAAGTTATGTGCTCCTACACTCATAACTGTGAGTACCCCTTAAGGGCATGCCACACGGTTTGCATATCACAGGTATAAAGGAATATTAAATACTCAATAATACAATAGCGAACAAATGACTTCAATATCATTGTAACGTTGTTCTTCCATTGGACAGATTCTTTAGAATTATTCAGTCTACGTGACAATAATGTTTAGCTTATTTCTTCCTTGTTTTTTCTGAAAGCTTCCTTCACTTGTACACTGTTGCAACTTGTTATAGGCCTAAGCTTACAAATGACGCTCAAACGGAAATAACTGGCTAATAGTAATAGTACTAAGGCTAACGTAGAAATAATCTATTTGTACAATATCACAGTTAATTTGTCAAATAGCTGAATATACGCGATCACTAGCACTAAAATACGTCGCTAAAACGAAGTATTTCATTGAACTAAATTAATAGTAATAGACTCACTGCAGGGTATTCCAACAGAAAGCAAAATACCCTGACTGACACTTTAAAGTTTACATAATCAATACTCATTCGTTATTCAATGCTAGCTTACTTACTGACTGACTCACCTGTAATTATACCTAATTCTTGTTCTACATATTTCCCAAGCCTCTAGGTTTTTGCAATTTCAATATAATATATTCAAGGTTGTTATTAATTTTGTCGATCTTAGTGTTTTTCGCCCTCTAGATAACATCTAAATTATTACATAAAAATATAGCTTATAACAATATCAACAGTTCTTTATAAGATATACTATGTATATAGACATATACTCTATAAATTTTGCTTAATCACAAAAATTGCTGTTTATAGAAGAAAGTGTTTTGGTCTATTTCGGCTGTTCTATCCTCTAAATTAAACTAAGACTATTAAATAAATATTTTTTTTTACAAAATCTTAAGTTCGAAATGTGTAAAGAAAAGAGGATACTGACCAAATCTTGAATGTGAAAAAATAAGTAAAATGTTACCAGTTAATTTTTCTGTATTATTCTGTTGACAAATTGTTTTAAAAATACTTTTTTCTTTTCTTGCAGTCACTGATGTTTGCCTTTTCAGTAAAACAATTTTTACTGGTTGTTACATATTAGAATTTCGAATGGTCTGAAATTGAGTTAAATGATACTGTTACGTCTCCGTTTCGTTAATTGATTTTCCGTAACTTCGTTCCGACGAAACTTTAACGACACAAGTCTTTACTTAATAAAACTGGTTTATTCTTTCCTAATATAACTTAACCGATACACTAAACTTCAACAATCGCGCTAAACAAACGCTATAGCAACGAACGTCAATAATACTCCGACGGCAGATCAATTACTCACTATCTACACACACATTACCTTCTGCGTCACGTTTTCCCCTCTATATATATACCAGCCTACCCTACTAGTAAGAACTTGAACATTCGCCAAAGTACATGATAGTTCTAGAAACGTTGCGTCACGGTGTCATGTGACTCGCTGACGCAACAGTACTTTAAATTTAGTAGTTAAATTGTACTTTGGATTTAGCAGTTAAGTAAA